TGACAGTGTTTTTAATGATATACATGTGTACATCAGAGGCAGTGTGTCTTTAAGGAAGTTTGAGTATAATCGTTTGACAGTGTTTTTAATGATATACATGTGTACATCAGAGGCAGTGTGTCTTTAAGGAAGTTTGAGTATAATTGTTTGACATTGTTTTTAATCCCATAGTTTTTTTTTCTTTCAAAAAATACTTTTAATATTAAATATATAGTATGCACTTACACTAACAAATTTTAAATAACAATAATATTTGTATATTGTGTGGTTTTATTTGATTCTACTTATTTTCAGTTTTGTTTATATATTTTTTGCTTACGTGGCATCTAAAAATATTACCTTTTAATTGTTCACAGCCAACTCGCAAATAACCAAAACCACAAATGTTAAATTCACCAGTTTGGAGGGGCGACTGTATATTTGTGCATCAGAGGCCTTAGGAAAGTTTGGCTATGAGCATTTGACCGTGTTTGGCTGAGTGGCTGTAGCCTCCTCTATCTTCAGGAGGAGATGGCAGAGCTGAAGGCCCAGCTGTATCTGCTGGAAAAAGAGAAGAAAGCCTTGGAACTGAAGCTGAGCACCAGGGAGGCCCAGGAGCAGGCTTACCTGGTGCACATCGAGCATCTGAAATCTGAGGTGGAGGAGCATCAGGAGCAGAGGAAGAGGTCCCTCGGCTCCACAGGCAGCAGCTCTGCGGGAAAGGTATGTTTGTCCATCCATCCATCTTAGGTATGCATAGTAAGACAAGAGAAGATCAATAGGGTGTATGACTTTAAGGGTTCTGGGTGTGGGATTCATTCAGGTATCGTGTTGCTGTGGCCTTGTCACCTCAGGGCTGTGGGTGCTTCTCCCACCGTCATCTCTGCATGTGTGCAGTTTGTATGGTCTCCTTGTGTTTCCCCCCACAGTCCAAAACCTCACATATACAGGGAATCATCTCCGAGCTACCCTTAGTGCATGATTGTACAGGTTGGGCTGAAGTTGCATCCCATGCAGAGCTTTCCCTGCATTACACCTGTGCTTCCTTGGAAATATTTCTGATATAACCTTTTTGACCATAACCATACTGCGAATAAACATTTATGGGAAATAAATAGATGATTTATGGGTTGTTGCATTTGAGCATGTGCTTTTCCCCCAAGGACTGTGCAGAAGGCAGCTCTCCCGCTGTGAGTCCGACTGATCTAAGGACTCTTACTGATGGCGAACTGGCTGCTGAACTCACCAGCACACTCCGACGGTGAGTAACAACCTGAGTTTGTCACCATCAAAGCTCGTTGGTAAGGCCTGATTTAGGGTGGCTGTTACCAGCAGTCACACGTGGATGACTAACCTCAGCTAGGTGTGCATGTCTGGTTGCTTGTGCCGTTTTGATCTCATGTGCTGGTTTTTTCTCTGTGAAATTCAGGGAGAAGAAGTTGAAGAGTCGAGTGCAAGAGCTGGTGGCAGCTTTGGAAAGACTTACTAAAAGCAGTGAGATCCGACACCAGCAGTCTGCTGAGTTTGTTAATGACCTGAAGAGAGCCAACAGGTGAGGAAGTTTAGAGTGGAACAAGATATTAGGCTATTGAATTACCCTGGATAAACCACATCCACAAAACGTTAATTGTTGTGATTACTGTACGTCAGCCACAGATGTTCTTGTCTGCTCAGTGTGCTCCTGAACAATGCCATAAGTTTAATTTGTAAGGCCAGAGTAGGCCACTGGTTTAGGGAGGTCTGTGTGTCTCATGGCTGGTAATTGCTTATTTTCGGTAGCAACTTGGTATCAGCTTATGAAAAAGCCAAGAAGAAACATCAAAACAAGTTGAAGAAGCTGGAGTCTCAGATGATGGCCATGGTGGAGCGTCACGAGACACAGGTGCGCATGCTGAAGCAGCGCATCGCCTTGCTGGAGGAGGAGAACTCGCGCCCCCACACCAACGAGACGTCACTCTGATGGGGGGGGGGGGGATCTCAGCCCCTGTGCTGGTCGGCCATCAGACTATGGCCCTCAGTGTCGGTGCTGGGGGTCCGAGGTGGAATGCACTCCCTGTCTCCTGCAAAATGCTCTCAGTGTCACGGAACACACAGACAGAATGGAGACGCACGTACAATGGACACCAAAACACATGTTATGACCAAATAAAGGCATATATGACCAAAAAAGGCATGCATGTGGACACCTTCCAACCGAATACACACATGCAAAATCCATATGCACTAGAAGGAGCTAGGATGTCACACGTTTGAGATATTCTTATCCACATACCCAAAGTAAAAAATACAGTATTGGAATCCATACTGTGAATTTCACAGCAATAGCAAAAGCAAATCCACTGTGGCTGTAGTAATGACTGGACATTACCTAAGGAAGATAAACATTCTTGTCTATTTATGTAAGAGGCGGTGCCTAAAATCACCTTTTACTCTTTTTATATACATGTGCATTAAAATTTTATATGATCGTATAAATAAAAGCAATACAATGCTATGTTTTATGGTGAACACTGCAATGCAGAGCAATATCATTTAATACTGGTTCAGCATTATTTTCACCAAGTTTATTTTTTGTGACTATCAACTGAAATGAATCCTGAATTAAAAGAACAATGACCTTGTGACCTACATGATGTTAAAATATCTATTCAAAATTTACATTGAATATCCATCCATCCATCCATCCACACATCTTCAAACATCTCTTCCTGGTGACAGTCATAATGACAGCACATGTCGCAAATCATTCCAGACCTTTCCTTTGAAGCCCACAGGTTCTTCATTCTTTGAAGTTCCAAGCCATCTGGGAGATATTTCCCCTGCAGTGGGTTCTGGGTCTGCTCCAAGGCCCGCACTCCCTGGGACGTGTCCTCTAACAGGTGGCATCCTTGTGAGATGCCTGGACCTCCTCAGCTGAATCATCTGGATCAAAAACAGCAGCATGTCTCCTTCCTACCATGTCTCTGAACTTCTCGCCATGACTGAGAGTGAACTCTCAATGTTGTGGAAACCTTGTTTCTGTTTTGCTCCTTCAGTAATTAACTAGTAACTCCCCAGAACACCCTGTGCCCTTCCTGATGCCACTGCCTCCGCTCCCCACCGTGGATCACTAATGTCCCTGCAGCAGTGCAGCTACTGAGACCATCTGTCTGTCAGACATGTTCTCTTTCACTCTCCCTCATGAGCAAGATCTCAGATTCTCTCCATTTTCCAAGAGACTCCAACGTTCCCATATGCAACACAATGGTAAATGACTCTGTACCAAGTGTGTGGAAACAATTTTACTATATACATATGGGAACTGAATGGCGCACAGTAGCAGGGAGAGAGAACAGTACAGTAGATCTCCTCTTCACAGCCAGAGCAGAATCAACATTGTTTTGAATTCTCTTAAAAAAAAAAAAACCTCTTGAAAATTATTTCTTCTTCGTTTGTATATAACTTTTCTCTGAAGGAATTTATAATCTTATATTTGTATATATTTTGAATAGTCTTATTTTGACATATTAAATTGTATAAATGTGAAATGCTGCAATTCAGAAAACCTGTAAATAAATCCAGTTTAAAGATTGTTGGGAAGATGCCTTAAGTCCCATTTATGTGCTTTTACTTACATTTTTGAAATTCAGATTGTTTTTCCTCACCAAAGTAAAGAGACGAGGAATTTTGAGAGATTATTATGTTTATCATCCAAAACTGTATTTTATTTGACAAAAGGGGCACAAGACTGTTACTTGGCCTTAAGACATGTGAAGTGAAATTTGTCATCCCATCCATATGCAAGTTCAGCATATAGTGCAACGAAACAATGTTCCCTGATGCACCGTATACAGTATAGACTACAGGGCAGTTAAATGCAACAAAGTCAAGATCTTGGAACCAAGAAAAAAAACACTCCACCCTTGTGTGTTGATTCATCTGGTTATTTTAGGGTTCGTTTGCAAGCTTGCATTCTACGTCATGATGTGACAGAACTGAAATCCAACTCTGTATGCAATATGGAAAGCAATTGAATTTTTTCCTGGCAATCCAGGTAACACTTCTCTTGCCCATTGTAAGATATATGTAGTTTGTTGCACCTGCGTTTACTGTATAGTAATTTCAATTTTGAATACATAACCATATATCCATGTTCTGCTGTACTTAATTAAATTTCTGTTATATGATAGATATCCTGTGGATCATCTTTAGTTTTTCAGTTTATGGAAAGTCTTGTTCTGTAACTGCTTTCCAACCTTTTTTTCTAATTATTGCATCCAAATATTGCTAAGTGCTGCATTAGTAGTTTGATAATTTTACTTCTTATACACATGTGAAAAGTGAACTGTTGTATTAAATACAACAAAAACAATGTTCAGAATTTTTTCCCTATTTTGTGAAGTTTTAAACAATAACAGGGAATATTGCTTGAGGCTATGCAATTAAGACCATGCATTTAAAAGAAAATGTACAGTATCAGCTGTTTGAAAGGTAGAGAGCACTTTTAAATACAACTGCATGTAGTTGTAAACATATACTGTGTAAACATTTCAGGATTTGTGTTTTTCATTACTATACACAGTCTCTTAATCTGTAGTTTTATCAAAATCAGAATTTTGTTTGAGCCAAAAAAATGTATGTTTAGGAATGTGTATTGTCTGTTTACCTTAACACAATATGACAGCCTATTAATGCTTTCATTTCACCAGATTAATCCTTGTAATTTTAATTATGTTCTTGGTTTTGCCTTTGGCAGTGGATCTGTATCAACAATCCTTCAGATATGTGTTGTTTGGAAGGGCTGCTTTTGTGTTTCTTACCTTATTTGCACATATATTTATTGATTGACAATCTAAAAAACCAAATAGAAATGGTAATGCATTAGATTAACTGCACCTTCATAATGCATTCATTATACATTCATAGAACATTCAGTGCATCTTCATAGTCCATTCATAGAGCATTCGTAAGCATCACGTAAGTTTACCTTAACATCCTAACGTACAGCTTTAATATACTTTAATAACAAACATTATATGATTATACAGTGATCACGTTTGTTGTTAATGTGTTAAAGCTGTTAAGGTATGTTAGGGTGCTGCTTATAAATGTTCTATGAATGTATTATGAAGGTGCGATTAATTTAAAGCATTACCAGTTTATAGCATATGTAAATAAAACAACTGAAATTACCTGTTTCTTGAAATTTGACAATTGCATATGCTGTACAAAGTTTGTGTGTGTTGAAGTGTATTGTGGTTTATAAAATAAATGGAAGATTAGGCCTTACTAGAGGCAGTCCCCAGGTTATGAACAAGATACCTTCCTTAAGTTTGTCTTAAACTCGAATTTGTAGGTAAATCAGAGAATAATACTACATTACATGATAATTATAATAACAATAACAATAATAATGTTACAACTTGCTGTCACCTGTATATGTCTGTGTGTCTAATGGAAAGCAAGAGAAGCAAAGAAAGATTTTTCCCACTGGAATTAATAAAGTATCACTAATAAGAGTAACTACATACGGTGCTGTGTTGTACCTCGAGCCGACAAACTGCTGAAGCTGCACAATGTTTTCCTGAGCGTCTCAAAGCAGTGCGTGCGTTTGTTATTACGAGCCATTCTATTTAATCCAAATGTTTAGTAGAATAGACTGGCAGTCCATAAGCCAAACGTTCTTAGCCAAGGGGCCGCCTGTATTAGAGCATCGTCACAGACAACTAGTAATAGTTGTCGCGGACAGCTTGCTCTACAAAGAGCAAGTTGAGGGAGGCGTAAAAACAATTTCCCCACGGGGATCAATAAAGTACCAATTAATGTTGCAGAAATGGAAGAAGCCAACAAAAACGCGCACTTCATGGGTGCAACACCTCACAGGTACAATACTTTATATTTACAATGTAAATGGACAGATACATTAAATAACAATTAACACATAGTAGTAGCGCAGCTAACTAATGACCCCTCAAAGCCAACACAGTCCCAAAAGCGTTTCTGTAGGGTAGTTGTAGCAGCTTGGTGCTGTTCTGTCACTCCATGCACCCCCCCCCCTCCTGGAGACACCACAGCTATTCTTTACTCGGCTCTTTCAGTGCTTCCAGCTCTGGGGGTGGACCAAACAGCCCGCCACTCGCAGATCTCGCCAAACACGTGTTCGTCAGAGTTTTGCCCGTCATTGCTGTGCAGTACTTCCATACCCAGAAGCGACAGAACTCCTCAAAGAGCTTCCCGGCTGTGGTCACTGCATTCTGATAGGGAACTGCATGCGTTTGTGGCCGTTTGATAAAATGATCCATAGCCACAATCATGTGACAGTTCCTGACACCACTACAGGGAAATTGACGTAAGATGTCCACCTCAACCCTCTCTGTTGGCGTCAACACCTGGTACAGTTGCAGCTGTACTCGGGACTAATGGTTCAGACGCTACTAGATGGTACAGAATAGCCAATAGAAGCTGTAATGATATGTTATTAAGTAATTATGTTTTTAATTGTCAATTACGTGATGAAGTGTTTGTGATTATATGTGTATATGGTAGTGGAGTTACTTGGGAGACACTGTTTATCCACGTTAGTGTGTGATTCACTCAAATAAATGTCTGCTCACACAAAGCAGGTGGGCATTTCATTCTTTTAAACCCGTGATTAAAACATGGTACATGGTACAATGAAATGTATGGGAGGCATGTTTTTCTCCCTTGAACACAAGGTTTCTGACAATTGAAGCTTGGTGAGCATGGCACCAAGTATTGTACTTTTAATACAACTTTTGGCATATATAGTTTTTTAAGAATGCCATTTGGGATTGTCTGGTTCTGAGATATTCCATAGAGCCACGGAACACGTCGTTGAAGGTCTTGAAGGAGCTTGTGTGTATGTTGACAATATCATCATCTGGGGATCTTCAGTTCAGGAGCATAATGACCGACAAGTGTTACAAAATTTGGAAGAATGGACTCAAACTTAACAAGAATAAATGTCAGTTTGGTATTCAGGAAAGTATTTTCCTAGGTGACAAGCTGTCAGCTGGAGGGATTCAGCCAGACAACACAGTGAAGACAAAGTGAATTCCATTTTGAATATGGTGAATCCAACAGAAAAAGCTGAAGTATTGCGTATCATGGGGATGATGAAGTTCATTCTTAATTTGCCTGCAAAAACATCCTGCCTAAGAGAGCTTTTACATAATAGTGATTTTGAATAGACAGCTACACATAAGGAGTGGCAAGAGCTGAAAACAGTTTTGACTACCTCACCTGTACTTGCATTTTTTGATCCAGACAAAAGGATCAAGGTTTTAGCAGATGCCTCCAAAGATGGGTTAGGTGCAGTGTTGCTTCAGGCTGAGGGTGAGCACTGGAAACCTGTTGTGTTTGCATCCAGGACAATGATTGAATCGGAAAGCCGGTATGCTCGAATTGCAAAGGAGGGTTGGTCTGTAAAAAATTCATGGTTTATGGTCTTCCCATGTTTACTGTGGAGACAGACTATCATCCATTGCTTGCCATCATTAAGAAAACTCTGAATAAGATGTCGCAGAAAATACAATGCTTAATAAAGAAGCTACAGAGGAATGACTTTAATTTGATTTATACACCAGGAAAGTATCTGGTGTTTGCAGACACTGTCTCTAGAGCACGGTGTCAGGATGATGGATGGGATGGAATGTTGTTAAAGTAAAACAGAATCGTTATACCAAAAGCTAGCAAAAGTACCCATGGTACTAGCTGATATGCCAATCATACAATGGCAAACAGCTGAAACTGATCTTTTTCAGTTATTTCAGTTTTTCATGGTAATTTTCCACTGCCATCAAGAACCAAGTTATCCAAGCCTTCCCCGCACTGACATGGCCCTGCTAACTAGGTCAAAATGCTCGGAGGTAACAGTGTTCTAAGTCGATATGCATGGATTATCTGATGGAAAAGAGGGCATATTCTATATCTTTTTCATTATTAGTAGTATCGCACATCGCAATGTAATTCATAATGCTAATTTATGCAAGTAAATGCTAATTCTGTTGCATCTGATAATACTATAGTATAGGATGGTGATTCTTATAGATTTGCTAGCAGGAATTAGCATACAGTAAATCATGATGTGCAGTGTGCGAACAGTAAATAAGCATCTCTTCAGTGTTACGTCACTGTTGCTCTCCAAACCTGGCAACGTCTTTACTGAGTTGACTGTGTCCAGTTGTATGATGCTTTTCCACTGCCGTCAAGAACCCAAGCTGTAACCACGCTAACATACCAAAAAAGACTGACTAAACTGAGCTGGTTGCGTTACCACTACCTGACTGGTCAAAATGCAATTATCAGTTGCATAATTATTAGTAGTATCGCACATCGTGATGCATTACCAAAAACTCGGAACTTGAAAATTTAAAAAAACTACTACAGAATAACTTAACAGAATGGATTCGTAATGCAAATTTCCACAATCAAATGCTAATTCTGCTAGCTGTTGATAGTTGCATAACATGGTGATTCTCACAGATGTACTAGTGGAAATTAGTACACAATAAAAAAAAATAATAATTGCACATAGTAAATTGTGTAGACAGTAAAAAGGCATCTCCTTGGTTTTCATCACTGACGCTCTCCAAACTTGTTAATGCCTTTACAGGGTCAACCCTTCTGCAGTGGAAACCCAAAGCGAGTCAACTCCGCGCTGTCTTCGACGTGCGGCTTGGGTGTGGGACGATTCTTGTGTGCCAGGGAAAACGCGCCATTACTAAGGGATGGGCTGTTGAAGTGTGATGGGCTGAATGTATGATGATGGAGAACAATTTACTGTGACTGTTGCAGACCTCTGACTTTATGCGACATTTGCACGCGTGGGCCTGCCCACAGAAAACCCACATGGGCTAACTCACATCCCCATGTGGGATTACTGCGGGTCGGCCTTTGCCCACAATGGTGGACCGTTGTCCATGCAAGGCCCACACAGGCATGTTTGGTGGGTAAATGTTACCATCATTTTGGTTAAATTATTTTGGTCTAATTATGTGTTAATATATAGATTACATAGAATTGATAATTTATTCATTAACATATTACATTCTTTTGCAATTTGTGTATGTATAGTTTCTTGCCTTGATTGCCTTTGTAATTCTATTCAGTAATGTAAATGTCTACACATCTCAATGCACCTGTCCTTTCAATACACATAGGGCTTAATTGTTCTGATCATGAGCGTAAATTATGGCGGGATGGGGGAAGTGTAATCCCCCTCTCCCAGTACAACCCTCTGTACCCCCCGAATTGGGTGGAGACCTCAACCCCTTCAAAGATCAATCCAAGGATATGCCCTTGCATTGCTACCAACTTTGGACAAATTTTCTTTTTTTGACAAGTCTGCACACACACGCACTTATTTACATGTATGTAAAAGTTTTATTACCTTGTAAATAGTGTGTTACAAAAAAGGATTTTAACATACATTTCTCACGAACCAAACTAGGAGTGATTTAAACAGAAAGGATGAAAATGATTATGATCATCTCGGAGAACACATGCAGCACTCATGCAAAAGCAGCGGAAGTAAACTTTATCTAGTATATGTTTAAAAATCTGTTTTAGCGATACTTAAATGCCCTGCGCTATACTATCTATACCAAATTGGAGGAAAGAAAAGGCCTGATCTTAATCTAGCTGACTAGTGTAAGAATTGGATGTGCATAACATGTGATGTTAGTATTAATATCAGACGTTGTCCAGTCCTACTACAGCCATTTTTTGAACTCGGTACAAAATACCCTGCCTCGCGTTGTGACGTAAGCCGGTGCCCATACCAGTTTTTAAGCCAATGGAAAACCAACACCCTGAAGTACCCTACTTTTGCTACCTTCTTGAAGTACCGAAAGTATGGTATCTGGTGTGGTGGAAAAGCACCGTTTAGTTGAACATACAGCATTACAGTGCTGTACATTTTGCATGTGCTGTACTGTATGTCTTCTGCTATGCTACATCTTGATCCTGCCTCTTCTCCAACACAAGATGCACACTATCTCTTGTGGTTATAGAAAAAGATACTGGTCAGTGTGGGTGGGTTTTCCATCAGCCCCAGCTTTCCATCACTGGTATCTTTTGTTTGACTCACATCACCCACCACAACACAGACTAGGAGTTATCAGGACTTTACGCCACAGAGCAGAGATCATTCCCACTTCCACAGAAGCTAAGAAAAAGAATAACAGGCATCTGAAGACAGGCTTTAAGACCTGTGGATATTAAGTGGGCCTTTCACAAAGCAGGACCCTGTTTCAGAAAAAGGACAACGGAACAGTCAGAGTCGCAGGGCCAACGGAAGGGCTTGGTTATTCCATACATGTCTGGTGTGTATGAAAAGCTAAAAAGGATTTTTGGAAAACACCACATACCCGTCCACTTCAAACCTATCAACACGCTGAGACAGACTCATCCACCATAAAGATCGGATACCAAAACAGAAGAAAACGAATGTAGTATATGCCGTTCAATGCAGCGAAGTGTGCCCTGAACTTTGCATTGGAGAGACCAAACGACTGCTACATAGGAGGATTGCCCAGCACAGATGAAGTAACACCTCAGGACCGGAATAAGCTGTGGACTGTACCTCCATTTGAAAGGCAAAGGACGCTCATTTGAGGACATTAACGTACAGATACTGGATAGAGAAGACAAGTGGTTTGAGAGAGAGGTGAGGGAAGCTTTGCATGTGCAAATCAACAACCCCTCACTCAACAGTGTGAAAATGAGACCAAATTCACACCTCCACCATGTGGACCACCTTTAAGGACCCACTCTACAGTATGGGGGTAGGAGGGACTGCTAATGGTGTGAACCACCCACGAATTTCCCACCACATTTGTTTCACTCTACCAGCCAGCCTAGTCAGAGCAGGTGTGAAGTGAAACTACCCAGGAGGATAAATTTATGGTCACTAACAACCTTCCTCATACTGAAGAAGCTGCTTGGATGAGCAGTGAAACGTTTCTGCCTTACAAGAAAGAAGTCCAGTTGCCATGACTCAACCACCAGACGGATTCACCTGGATGACTGAGAATCTTCACAGACAGTTAGACATTAGTCTAATCTTTGGCTAATTACCATTTAACGCCAGTAAGATAGCATATAGCTTCAATCAGTTCGGCAGATTTGTACCAAAATACAAGTAGGCCTACTACATTACACGCATCGTTTACAGTAATGAAACAGCATCAAACCAAGAACACTTTACTGACAAGTAATTAATAATACTCATGGACGTCTCTTCTCCAGGGTAAATAAGAGACGAAGCGAAAAAAGTACAAAAGACCCAAACGAGGGCTGAACTTGCAGGCGCACAGATGCAGTACCTCGCTCTTCCACAAGGGGTCATAAAGGGTTTTTACTGTTTATAAATCAAATAACTATCTGTCAACCCGAACGCGTATTATCGATTCAAACAAGTACAGAGCAAAATCTTACTAAAAACCCTTAAAACAGAACACAAGAGATGTATGGAGTTATTTTAACCAGACCATATGTTGCATAAAATCAGCGACGTGTAGAAGAAACAAAATTAATTAACAATTAAATTAAATGCAAGTATATGGACCTTCTCCTTCGTTCTGAAGCTTGCGCTACGATACTTCTTCACCCAAGGAAAAATGTAATTTAAAAGTATCATTTAAGTTTGCCAATATCACCGGTGAACAAAATCTTTGTGACAAATGTATTTTTAAAATCAGTTACGTAGGCCTATTTTATGTTAATTATAACAATGGTAATGATCTATACAGTAGGTATATAGTAGTATTGAACTAATTTATGAAATTTCACGAGTTACACTTTTAAAAAAATATCACTTTCTATTAGAAATGATTTTGCAGGTGTGGAACAACTATAAAATATAATAAAATAGAAAACTCTAATCATACGTATTAATTTTCTGAATGTACATGCTGACTCTTGGAGCGGTGCTAATAATATTTTAAGCTTTTCAGCTCTGCAACCTCTGTAATATGGTTTCCCACTGCAAATTCCGAATGACAGAGCTCATATAGTTTTTAAAACAAAAGGCTATAAATCCCCCAATGCCCCTTTTTAACGATGGTTTATAATTAAGCATCATCGGACCACTTAAAAGGGAAACCTGCATGTTAACACCTATGAGCTGCACCTTATTTTATAAATCAGTGTGAGTTTTACTATTGTGGCATGAATAAACGAGAGAGTTTAAATAAGTTTTATTATTAAAACCTTAAGATCCACTTCCTGTAAGACATGGACGAATAGACACTATAACTTTCATTAACCCATGCATAACCGCCCAAAACGAAAGTACGTTCACAGTGACAAGCGATAATTCAATATATAAGTAACATTTAATGATGATATATAGGAAATCAGCTTTTGCATATATTTAATAGAAAATAATCATTCTCGATTTAATAATTTTACATTTCAAATATCAGAAAACACAACTAAAAAGACGTTTGAAACTTGAAATGGCGGCGAAGGAGTTAAGCCTGAGAGGGGCCGATGCAGGCCGGCATTAAGGTGCCATTCCGGGGGTGTCGCCGTGAGCCTGAGTCGCTACGTCAGCTGATACCATGGCCATTATTTTCATGAAACACCTGGAGTCTTTTTAAAAAGGACGCAGAGTTAGATACTAATATAAGCCAACATTGGCTCCTGTACGAGTATTTCACTGATTTCCATGCTTTGATACTGTTAATACGATGGAGATTTTACTCCGGGACGATTTGGCAGCGTTATCAGATCTGGATGAGAAAAGTTTGCTGGAAGCTTTAAGCCAACGTTTCAGCCAGAATCACATATACGTAAGTATGCTTCTTTTGTTTTGATTTTAGCTGGGGTTTTTTTGGGAAAGCTAGTACAAATGTCTGAGTTAGATTGAAGTGCATTCAGTACTTATTGCATCATTTTTTGAGTCCATATATAACAACTATAATTTCTTTTATACATGGTCTGTGTTGTTTTGACTCGTGACTCCTTTGTATTGACTGAGAAACAGTATATCGTACCTATATTTAAAAGGAGAGTTTATGCTGTGAAGTTTTAAATGAGAATGTGACATACCGTCAACAGAATGATATTGTGAGTTTTTAAAAAATGGATTTATTTTGTAAAAGTTTACATGTATGATCTCTAAAGGGTTAACCCTTAAAATATTTACCATATTATTTACTGTACAATGGTCTGAAGTCCTTCTGGATTTCATTGCTGCATTGTGGCTTCTGAAAAGGAACATGATCTGCACTTAAGTTATTCCATACTCCTCAAGTTTGGGGATGCAGCCTGTGGGGATTTAGATGAGTTGAATGTAGCGCACAGTTGATTTGAAGTTTATGTCCAGTACATTGATGCTGATTCTCTGTCACTGTCTTCCAGACATATATTGGGGATATACTGGTATCAGTAAATCCTTTTAAATACCTGCCACTCTATGAAAAAGAGGTAAGTGCAGCCTTGAGGTAGGTATGCACCTTATTTATTTTCGGGAAGTCTCAGATTTTAGCGTTCCGTTCAGCAGATGCATCTAACCAAAGCTACGTACATTTACATTTTTTTTTTGAGAGTAAGCAGGGCCAGACAGTCCATATAGCAATTGGGGTTTAAGGGCCTCGTTCAGGTGCCCAATAGTGAAATCATTCTGCTGCCCCCTGGGCTTGGAACCAGTGACCTTCCTAACACGGGCACAGCAACCTGACCCGCTGAGCCAATGACATCCCCATGATGGAATACAGTACCAGAAATTATAATAAAATGAACATTCAATAGTTTCAGTCACATCTCTAGATATTAAGTAATGAGCGTTGCAATGTGTTCGTTGTACCCAGGTAGCTGAGCAGTATAAATGCCACGAAAAGTCCTCACTGCCACCCCATATTTTTGCGGTGGCCGACAAGGCATATCAATCTATGCTGGGTCGACTGGGCACGGGATCCAGGAACCAGTGCATCGTCATCAGGTGGGTAGTCTACAAGAATACTGGATGTCATGCCTGGGTAATTTGTCATGCCCGATGTCCTGTTATGTTCTACAGATACATCTCTCCCTTCCCTACATCTCTATTTTATAATATGACATAAACCATAGTTGAATTCGGGTTTGTCCATGAGTTTTGATACAAATCAATTTTGCATGTAGGTTCACCGATCATTATTATTAATGCTGTCTGAAATCCTCATTTTCAACTTGCATTTGGACTTACGATGTTGGTGGTATTCAGCGCAAAATACTAATACTGTTGTTAATTCTAATATGAGATGGTTGATTTTTTTTCCATCTATAGATGTAGTTTCTGAAAAATTGACCTTGATTTTTTTTAAGAACCTAAGAAATTTACAAACAAGAGGAGGCCATTTGGCCCATCGAGCTCGTTTGGGGAGAACTTACCTAATTGCTCAGAATTGTTAAAATCTTATCCAGCTCTGATTTAAAGGAACCCAGGGTTTTAGCTTGCGTTACACTAACAGGAAGACTATTCCATACTCTAACTACACACTGTGTAAATTCATTTTAAAAGTTCTCCCACTAATTTCCATGAGTTATAGTATTTAAACTAATATTGAAGTAGCAATTTGGCTGAACAGCATCCAGACCTGTTAGAATCTTATAGACCTGGATCATGTCCCCCCTTAGTCTCCTTTGCTTGAGGCTGAACAGATTCAGCTTTTTGAACTTGCTTGGTAGTTTAACACGCTGCAGTATGTGGTTTGGGGACTGTTGGCTCACACAAATAATACTAAGACGCCTGTCACAGAAAGCTGCTCAGCTACACCTTGTAATCCCATTTCACATGATTCTGCTATTTTTGTATTTTTTCATAGTAGTTTATAGTAGTCTATTGTGTTATAGAACATTTACATTTAAAAAAAGTAAAACCTTTCTTTGCAGGCAGACTTGGTGTTTACATTGCTGCCTAGACATATTAAAGGAAATGGGTTTCACACATACATACTATTTGTCATTGTGTTCCTAACCTATAAGTTTAACAGAAACACAGTCAGGTTCTGTCACTGTGGTTGCAGTTTCCTGGTTGTTGAATTGATTGAAAGTTAACAGGGCCAAAACATGATGAACTCCAATAGCAATGCTTATCTGTGAGACTAGAGAATAGGGTTTCAAGCCTTTCGCTATTTGTAATTGAGATAACATTAGAGATACTTGATACCAAGGTTAGATTTGATAAAGTTTTGACTTATTTGATGTCAGATGTTTTCTTTATGGGGGTGGCACGGTGGTGCTGTGGTTGGTTCTGTCATCTCATACCTCTGGAACCCGGGTTCGAGTCTCCGCCTGGGAGTCTGTGGAGTTTGCATGCTCTCCCCATGTCCTCGTGGGGTTCCCTCTGGGTACCTCTCACAGTCCAAAAACATGATGAGGCTAATAGGGGTTGCCAAATTGCACATAGGTGTTTGTGGGTCAATGAATGATGCGTGACTGTGCCCTGTGATGGGTTGGCACCCCACCCATCCTGGGTTATTCCCTGCCTTGCGCCTATAGCCTCTGTAATAGGCTCCAGACCCTCTGCAACCCTGTACAGGATAAGTGGTTTCAGAAGGTGGATGGGTAGATGTTTTCTTTACTTGCTGCTGGTGGTACAACAGTTCTGAGACTAAAACCGCAATACAAATGTTCACAATCTGTTTGCGATCTCCAGAACTGTGATATGCACCCCCCCCAGACCCCAACCGCCTGCTGCGAGTGCAGCCTTATGGCGCTAGTGATATTAGAAAACTCATTTTTCATTTCAAAATTAACACTATAACACATACAAATCACTAAATAATTATTCTATTTAAAGTTAGGGCAAGTTGTATATTTTATAAATATTACACATTGCACCATCCAACTGTGTGTCACGTGACTATTTTGGTCCAATCTTGTTCAAGAAATCGTACCTGTGGAATAAGGTTGGCTAGTTTCAGTAGCTCGAGATTAATAAAACCCTACATTTTTCCCCTTTGGTTTTTTTCTTGTTCACCTCCCACCCAAAAAAAACAACAGTGTTCTTGGAAGGGCAGTGTTTTCTGAATCTGATACCGCAAATTCCATTATTTGCAAGTCTCATCATTTATGCAAATGAGTGCAGTGGCAGATGATCACTTGCGGTGCAGATCAAATAAAGTTGTAAGAATTTGATACTTTCCATTGCATTTGGTTAACAAATATAATTTCTTTTTGCAGTCAGTCTGTTTATGGATGTTTTGAAAATATTTTTTTTGCTTTAGTGTATTCTGTGCATGATATTTACTATTAATGTCCCATAAAACTTACAGTTATGATGCAGAATACATGCTTTAGCAGATAGTTTTTAAAGTGGTTTGGAAGAATATTAAATTGTGTTTTATTAGTTTACTGACTCCTAATGCAGTTTATGGTTACTTTGTAGAAATTATATAAACTAGAATCACATACTGTACTTTTTAGGTACAGTAGTTTCATGTATCAGAAATGCATAGGTTCTTGATATTGAATTTGAGCAGTTTTTACTTTACTCTATCCAGTGAAAATATCTCTTATTTCTGGCTGTTGAATGTTCACGATTATATCTGTGAACAGTGGTGAAAGTGGAGCTGGGAAGACTGAGAGCACAAAACTTCTTCTGAGACACATTATGGACCTGTGCAAAGCGAACTCTGCACTCGAGCAACAGATACTGCAGGTGAATACAAGGACACAGTCAGCCAAAGGAGTCGTGTTAATGACTATTTCTGTTTACAGTAATTAAGTGAAATAGGTGCTTCATCACATTTTCTTTAATTTCCTGCAAGATTATTATTTTTTCTTTTCATCTGGCCTTACTGGAACCTTCAGGGTTTAAAATAAACTGTAAATGTGGTTTTGGTTGGCCAAGCTGATTTAATTCCTCAAAGTAAATAGAAAAATAGGAGTTATGAAACATGAGAGAAAAGTATCTTTATCTGCAGTAAATGTCTTACCCAGAGACATCTGTCTGATGCATCTTCGCCATGTTCAAATTTTAGTATCAAGTTTTCGATACATTTAGCACAAATTTCCTTACTGTCTGTCCTTGTAAGTGGCTCGCTCTTCCACGATGAAAGTTGCCTTGGAAACATTCAATCAATCAGTCATTAGTCTATGTGCTTCACTGACTAGGTGAACCCGCTACTTGAGGCCTTTGGGAATTCTCAAACCGTCATGAATGATAACAGCAGTCGTTTCGGAAAATACATTCAGCTGCGCTTCCTCAAATCTTCAGGTATGTGTCTGTTTCAGAAATGAAAACACTTCTGTCTCATTTGACCTTTACCGCTTCATACCTTGCTAGAGGACTGAGAGCACATACAGTAGATGCTCTCAAATTTGTGTCAAAGGGGACAACAACTAAAATATAGGGGATAGGGCTGATAACTGCTATGTTCACGAGTCTGTCTTGTAGTCTCACCCTGTTTATTCCATTTGTCAGTCAAAGGTGCCAAAATAAACGAGTATCTCCTGGAAAAATCCCGTGTGGTGCACCAGGATGAAGGGGAGCAGAACTTCCATATCTTCTACTACATGTTGGCTGGGATCTCACAGGAGGACAAGGAAATGTACGGCCTTTTGGAGACCTCGCAGTACAGGTTAGTCACCCTCCACCATCGCTGATTCTACGTCACTGAAACATTCCTCAGCAAGGAGTGGCTTCAAAAGATTCTTTCTTACAGAGACTCGGCTTGCAGTGGATTTTGTATATGAGCCGCTCGTTTTGTGAATTTTATTTTGAAGATAGATTGAAAATAGAGAGATTGGAAAATTGAACACACAAACAAAAAAAAAGGTCTAACAAAAGAGGAACAACTTACATTAAAAAAAAAAGTCTTCAGCCTTGAGAAAACACAGAAAATTGAAGATTTTTAAATTAGCTACATGATGCAATAAACCATGAGACATACTGTAATTAATAATGATTACTATAATATTAATGACATTCTTGCATTTTATAAGGCCAGGAATGTAATGTAACATTGTAAATGTCTGCTACACTCAGTTCCTCTTTTAATGTGAAACAAAAGTACAAGACGTATCTGCAGATTCTGATGGCAGTTGTTAAGCTTCCTGTGTGATTACCAGATGGAATCACCCGAGGACAATTTTGCAAATAAACAAGGCTCTTCGCTGTTTAACCGTAGCACACCATGGTATATAGGTGCTAAATACCCACACTTAAAGCATACATTTTAAACGATCAGGCCTGCCATTAATGCTATCTTAAGCACTTGCTTATTTTTGATAAAGCATGTTTTAATGTGGTATTTTTGGACCATTACATAGGCTCTCTAAAAGGACTATAAGCGACTTATTCCCCTGGTACAATATTATTAGTCAAGCATACCCCACAGTTGCAGCAGAAATGCGTCTGTTTGCAGAGGTTCCGGTGTCTGTGTTGCCATACATTATCTTATTGCATGTCACTCAGGCTTTGATTGTGAAACTGAACCACTATGCAATTCTTCAATATCTTCATAAAATGCTTATTTTTAATCTATTAGTTTATCCCAGGCAGCATGGGGTACGAGGCAGGGCGACACCTACATACTTGAGTGTTCACACACACAGACACATGCACTTTGACCAGTCCATGCATCTGATTAAAGATTAAAGATATCCCAAAAGGCCGTCCCAAAAACCCGCACCGGCCCTCCATGGATCAGGATCCCCACCCCTGATCTATACAGTTTTCAGATACCTTTGATGAACTAGGATTAATTCATATTGTAGTTCTGTTTTTTGTAAGGCGATGGATGAAAATGCCTGTTTTCCAGGTACCTCAATGGCGGGTGTGGTACAGAGGAAATGGTCCGCCAGTGGACCACTAAGTACAGTGAGGTGTGCAATGCCATGGACATGGTGGGATTTGAGGAACGGGTAAGTTCTCATTCCTCCAGAAATACTCATTCAGCATCCTATACAAGTAAACACACTAGAGATGAAACGGCTTGAAAATTTAATATCACGATTACATTGGCTAAAATTATTACGGTTATCAGCAGTGTGGGAGAAACTGCTTTTAAATGGTAGCTGTTCAAGCTAGAAAGTACTCATGATTAAAATTAGCTAAGCTACAACCAAGGTACTGTTTTAATGTAGTAGTTAGTTACAATACAAGCAACAGAGAATAAGTGGCTCACTACATCAAAGCTATTTAATCCAGTAAAACTTAATGTTTATGCTCAAATGTTCAAAGTAATATGAAAATCTGTTTTTCCACAATGTAATGTCAAATCATAATAAGGTTTCAAAAAAGTTTCTTTGTTTGGTGTAAACCAAGAGTACTTCACAATTGCTGTGTGAAAATTAGAAGGGTTACAAAATCTTTTATTCTATCTAAGTACCAACGTGCTCCTATGGATTTAAATGAAAGTACCTAAAATCCCTTTAACATCCATCCCCAGAGTATTCAAACAAAATCACCAATCAGAAACACCTGTACTGTGAGCGCTGTAAACAGCAGCCTGAACACCAATCAGAAACACCTGTACGGTGAGCGCTGTAAACAGCAGCCTGAACACCAATCAGAAACACTTGTATGGTGAGCGCTGTAAACAGCAGCCTGAACACCAATCAGAAACACCTGTACGGTGAGTGCTGTAAACAGCAGCCTGAACACCAATCAGAAACACCTGTACGGTGAGCGCTGTAAACAGGAGCCTGAGCACGAGATGAATGAATGAGCGTCTCACGGGGGGATGCTCACACTGAAAAATTAATATCACTGCATTAAAAATTCCATTACATAAAATATCTCTGGAGCGCCATCAATGACCTTTGCTGTGTTTTCACTGTCACAAAACAAACCCATGTTGCACGTAGCTGTGGGTAACTGTCGTTGATGCTGGACAGTATTTAACGTGAGTTTTTCAAAGTGCATTAATCAGCCACTGTTTTAATGAGGAGTAAAAATTGAAAAGGTAATACTAACCGTTGGGAATTTTACCATGATTTACTGTGAAACCAGTAACATATTCATCCCTAAAATATACCTTTGGCCTTAATTTACCCTCTATCTATGAAACATAATCATTACTTTTCCTAATGTTACTACTGTCCAAATGACAGAATACAGGGAATATTTATGTCCAATGTTAACTAAAAGCCCACAGAATATTAGTTTAGTATGTTTTTGAGACAATGCTGCCTTTTACCTTTTAAACATTTCCTTTAAGTTCCCATTCTGTGTAAATGGTACAATAGAGTAGTTTTTTTGCTAGATTACTTATGTCAGGTATATTCTGACATTGTTGTGCTGACCCTGTTCCTTCTATCTAATCATTCTTTGCAGGAGAAGGTAGATATGATGACTGTGCTGGCTGGAATTCTGTCCCTGGGTAACATCGTGTTTGAGCCCTCAGAGAGCGACGCGCTCAGAGTGGCTGAGAGTGCACAGGGTTGGCTGAAAGCCTCAGCGGTGAGCAGCAATGCAGGGCTACCTGATTTTTTTATTGGGCAATTCACTGTGCAGTGTAGACTCATGTGTATGGATAAGCAGCATCTTGCATATCTTTTCATATAACCTCTTTGGGTGAATATAGACAGATTTTCTTTTTTTTAATGCCCAACCACCACCACCCCCATTTCGGAGGACAACTTTATTTTTAATTAGCTGAACAATAGATCAGTACATTAAGTGAAGCCACTCCAAACCTCCCCATCCCTGCCCACCCCCCCATTATGACATAATGGTACACAGTTGGACAAATAACACATGGCAGGTAAGACAGACAAGATATGGCATTGTAAGACCAAAGAGATTGACGTCGATGCACAAGACAGGACAGGACGAAGCACAGCCATACACTCACTGGGAAATTTAGGGGTTTTGAGAGCTTATGAGATGCAGCAGGTGGGGTATAATTGCACTGAGTAGTTGTAGTGTCAATGTGTGTGTCTGTGTGAGTGTGATTATGTGTGTCATTCCGTGGGTTTAGTTTACAGGCAAGTCCAGTGTGGTGGTAAATGAGCCCTAAACTTTTTTGAAGCCTGTGGTTTGGTGCTGTAGGGTAATAAGTTCCATGGATGTGTATTCTTTAAGTAGGTTTTACCATTGTTATATTTACTGTGTGTCTGGTTTTCCAGTTTAACAGGATAGTTTTATTGGAAATAGCTAAGGCAACCAGTATGGGTTCTGCATATTTCATTGGTGGGGTTATGCTTGAGAGATCTCCAATTAGAGAAATAGACGGAGATAGTGGGATGCTGCATCTCAGTATAGAGGAGAATCCGTTAGTGATTACTTTCCAGAAACTTTGAATTGGTGGACAGAGCCAGAGGGAGTGGAAGTGGGTATCTGGGATGCGTAATGCAGACTGTGAACATGTCTGTTTCTAGAAAACCCATTTTATATATCTTCTGCTGGGTGATGTGTGCTCTGTGAATTATCTGAATATATGAATTAGTTGCAAGTTAGTGTGTTTAGTTATACTGAAGGTGTTCTTGCATATCTGGCTCCAGAATTCTGTGTTTGTTGTTTGTTGTAGATGATGGGTCCTATTCCCAGGCTCCGATTGGGATGGAAATTGTTGTATCTACATTGGATATGTTTGTATAAGTTTGAGAGAATTTTCTTTGTCAGTAATTTTTAAAAAATTTCTTCTACAAGTGGGGGTGGTAGTAAACAGTTGTTTGATACATTGATCTTAGATTTAAGAATAGACTTTATTTGGAGGTACTGGAGCTATTGTGTTTTTTCCCAATGTCATACTTTTCAACTAATTGTTGGAAGGTGGCAAATGTGTTATTCTCGAAAACGTGGTGATACCCTTTTGTTTACTAAAGAAAGTGGAGCTTTCTTGAGTGGAAAGTCTGAGTTGTGCCAAATTGGGGTGTATTTACAAGGTTTTATTGTAAATTTGAAGATTTTGTTGATTTTGCCACAAGGCTGTTAAGGTTGTTGAAATGACTCTATTTTAAAAAAAAAAAAAAAAAAAATCTCCTTAGACCAATGGGTTGTTTGGGTTGGTTGATGTTTAGATTTATTGCAACGGGGGCACGATATAGACACATTCTGAAAATTCTTATATTTATTTGAATGTTAGAAATGCCTAGCATTTTATCAGTGTTATGGCTGTAAGATCAAATGGATAGATTTGTATGGGAGACTACGTGTTTTCTACAATTCTAGAAAACATTATATGTGTGACATGAAAGAGACTTCAACAGAGAATGAAAAGAAAAGTACAGCTTTGAAAATATTTGTGGTTTTGGGGGAAAATGGTAAGGGAAAAACTGGCATTACAGATGTGACATTTTATATTATAGACATGACCAGTCCTCCACAAATTATAGAAACAACATGCTTAATTTTTATATGAAACCACTGAAATAGTAATTAAGAAAAAACTAAGAATGAAATGAAAAAATATGGACACAAATGAACTAATTAATTTTTCTATGGTAAGGTTGATGTTTGCATAGAATTGCCCTCTGTTTGTTTATTTGTTTGATTGTATCTATTTATTTATTTGACCAGTCAATGAAATGCCAAGTATTGCATGGAACAAAAAGCCCTGATCAGCACTGGACCTATTATGTTATATTGGAGATTAGGGAATAAGGGAAGTTTAATAGGCTATTGCAGTACCTGAAAAGTTGCATCTATATAGAGAAGGATTTTGACAATCTAATCAGGCTAGTGTAGTTTTCCTACACAATTTTCTGTCACACATTAACCTCTGACTCTCTGCCATATATTTTCCCAGACTAGTAGTTGGCAGCTATGGCAAATCTTTGACCACTTTATATGAACCATAAACATGTGAATTATTACTCAGAATAGAACAACTACAATTGGACTTGGGGTTGGGCCACATGTGGATCATACTGATAAACTGTATGGCTCAATGTAGGCTGTGGAGATGCTGTATTTTTTCTAGTTATTTTTGCAAAAAAACTGGTCGACTGACTTTAATTAAGGGCCACATTGAATAATTATATATGTAAATGTATATCCATTTCATGTCTATCAGGAAATGAGTGTATGCCTGTTTCTTTGTATTCAGGGTCAGTTTGGTGTCAAGGAGGAGGAGCTGTTGAGGAGTCTGATCTGTACCATGTCAGTGACCCGCGGAGAATCCATATGCCGCTTCCACAACCAGCAGCAGGCTGAGGGTGAGCAGGAACAGGCAAAGCTACTGTTGCTCTCGTGCTAACACACCCACTAATTTATGGCTGTAATCTTTGGATTTGCATGCTATATAACTATGTAGCTGTGGAATACCCCCCCCCCCCCCCAACAAATTGTATAGGCAAGATTTCTCAATACTGAAACTGCTTTTGAAAGTACCATCAAAAATTGTGTTAGTTGAGGTATAATGTCTGAATGACATGATGGTATGAAAAATTAAATACTGCCCAAGCCGAGCTTCAAGTAGCTTCCTGTTTTTCTGATGGAACTTCGCCAACTGAGGGACTCCACTCTTGGCCTCAAGAGTCCAACTAGAACATTTGCTTAATTTTATGTTCCGAATTATGTGCCCAGGTATATTTATTTCAGACCCAAATAGCCAATGTATCTGGGGGGGAGAACATAGTTCTTGTCATGGGAGAATGGCCCCCACTTCCCACATAACTGCCACTTTATGCTGTTGTAGGTATTTAGCTGTGTTGTTCAAAGCCAAGATTATATGAATTTGTGGTAGTTTTCTAGGGTAAAAGTATGCAGTATGTGTGACCTCATGGTTGGGTGCAAACAGCTAAGACTGCATGTAGCTCCAAGACATTTCACTTCTGATGTCGGTAGCGAAAATGGAATCTTTTATTTGTATTAGCCCTAGTTCAGTCCATGTCCAGTGGTACCATGTGAAAGAACAGGCACAGCTCTGGTGAACCTAATTACATTAACAAGTGTCACACAAAGTGCACCAGGGTCACTGGATAGATGGCTTTACCGTGCAGTTGAACCAAAAGCTTTGCTTTCACCTGTGTGTGTGTGTATGTCTGAAAAGGAGAGTGATTAACTACTGTTAAACATTCAAAACATGAGTATAATCATCCAGCAAGAGAAAGTCAATTCTGCGACGGTGCTCCTTGTTGGTTTCTGGGCAAGGAATTGGTATAGCTTCCACTAAATGACAGAGCTAATAAGAAGTATTATTATTATTATTTGGAAATACTGTTCTTGTTTATTATAGCTTATCCTTTTTACATACTGTAAATTAAAACATTCATTTCTTGTTTGCCCTGTATCGAAAAATAAATTTGAGTGCGAGCATAAGCTCGATATTGTATTTCATGGGCACGTTAAACGCACCATTTAATATTGCATCAACAGCGGCCTTTTAGCTCACAAGACTGCATTGTGCTAACATTGGAGAGCTTGTTGAGCTTAATCAAGTCCCAGGAGCACACAAATTGTAGCCCTTCCTTTTTACTGTAAGTCTTTTTGGGTATAAGTGTCAGTTAAATGTAAATGAATTAAAAGTACACTATCCGTATCCGTACACTATACTATCTGGACAAAAGTATTGGAGCAACATTTATGACATCAAATTGTATATCCATAGGCATCAATATGGAGTTAGTCCCCCCTTTGCCACTATAATAGCTGCCACTCTTCTGGGAGGCTTTCCATGAGATTTTGGAGTGTCTGGGAATTCTTGCCCATTCATCCAGAAGAGCATTTGTCAGGTCAGGCACTGATGCTAGATGTAAAGACCTCATTCACGATCTCCATTCTAGTTCATCCCAAACGTGTTTGATGGGGCTGAGGTCAGGGCTCTGTGTGGACCAGTCAACCAATCTCACCCAGCCATGCCTTTATGGACCTTGCTCTGTGATAATGCACTAGACAAATAAAATTGAATTATAAAAATAGTACAAATAGTACAAATGGCTGAAAAATAGTACAAATTAGAAATAAATAGAATACAAATATTTGAACATATGAAAAATTTTAATAGTATGCATGGAATTTTCAGACTTAGACATTGTATTCCTTTGTGTATGTTTTAATCAACTAATTTCTGGGGAAAGATTCTGCAAATTGTCATGTAAGTGGAAGGTGGAATAAATGAATAATTGTAGTTTCACAACAAGGATTTGGGTAAAAATACATCTGTTAACTTGATCCATCCATTACTTCTACAATTTGTACAGGTTGATGAATGTGGGACGAGTATGGATTGGATGTGCAGAGCAGGTGAAGGGGCTGTTTGGGAAATACATTGCGGTCATTTCCGACAGCCCCCTTTCTATTTTAAATAGATTTCCATGAGCAGGCAGCCTTGCTGCCAAACCTGCTAATACACACCCAGGAACCTTCTGTTGTTCACTAATTTGCTAACATAAGCAATGGCCTAGTAGCACTGGAGTGGGTAATCTAGAAACCTGCTGGAGTGTGTCCCTTGAAACTCTTTAAATCATTCAACTGAAATAGCCAGGTATGCTCTCTTGTACTTACTGCCCACTAAAAAGCTTGTATGTTTCTCCTTTTCATCAGATGCTAGAGACTCCATTGCCAAAGTTGTTTATGGCAGAATCTTTGGCTGGATTGTTACCAAGATCAATGTGTTGCTGGCACCTAACGTGGATGTTGGTGTGGACCTCAAAGAAATAGGTCTGTTAATGAAGTATCCTGAAATGTCTTTATAGAACGCCGATTCTCAGACATTGTATCTGCATTTATCGTTTCATGTGTTGTATGAATGCAGGAATTCTGGACATTTTTGGTTTTGAAAACTTCACCGTTAACCGGTATGAGCAGCTCTGCATCAACCTTGCCAATGAACAACTGCAGTATTTTTTTAACCATGTAAGTCTGTCCACATTTTGTGGTTAAATGTTTAAATGTTAATTTTGATGAATCTTCATTTTACAAAGTTAAAGAAATTAACAAATATTTTGTTTCATAATTTGCCACGAGAATCAAACATGCCTGCAACAAATATTAAAGTGATTCAGAGGAATAGAAAATGCGACATTTTTATACGAGCAGATTTTGGAGGAAGTCCTAACTGTGTAGCATCTGTGGCTGTCGTCGTGTTTTTTGTTCCAACTCAAGTGACGGCCACCATGGCTGACTGACCGGGTTCAGGTGTCTGTTGACAATATTGTTGCCCACAGCACATCTTCTTAATGGAGCAGAAGGAATATACAGAGGAGGGAATAACATGGGAGGCGATAACCTTCAAAGACAACAAGCCCATTCTGGTGAGGGCAGCGTGATCAGCACAGGCTACAACTTCCCGCTGGTCTCTGCTTTTTCCTCTTCTCTCACTCTTCTCTCACTCTTCCCTTGCTTACCCGACGGTCCCACTGAGCTCTGTCACAAATACCGGAAAGGGAAAATTCTGAGCAAGCATGTGCTACAGTTGGCTCGGATGGGAGGGGCAGTTTGAGGACTTTCAGCTGTTTCCAGAAACTTTTTCACCAGTCTAATGCCCTTCCTTGCTGGCTTCCTGACAGGACCTCTTTCTAAGCAAACCCATTGGCATCTTCTCCCTCCTTGATGAGCAGAGTGCGTTTCCCCAGGTAAGCCAAAGTCTCTTACACCAGCAGTAGGGCTACAATTATGCATTATCTGCCAGATTTATTTTTTTATTATTGTTGTAGTAAACAAATGGTATGGAGTATTTGCCCTAATTTCCAGGCAATGTTTGGTAATGTATAATAAAAGTCTATTCAGCTTGATTCCAATTGTGTGTTTTTTTTTTTGCTCTTGATTCAGGCCACTGACAGGGATTTTGTTGATAAGCTGAACAGCAAATTCAAGGGCAGCCCCCACTTTGAGATCGCCAGGAGCCGCCATCCAGTCTTCACGGTTGTTCATTATGCTGGAAAGGTGAGGATGAGGCAGACAGGCTTCAGTAGCAAATCAGAAACAGCACAGAAAAAGACTGTGACGGCTGAGATGCCCGTGTCCTTACCATCCATCCATAATTAAATGAATGACAACAATAAATGGTTTTAAAGAGATTGAGAGTGGTCTCCATGCTGGGTGTCTCTGCCTTGTGCTGCCTGGGATAGACTCTCTCTGACAAAATATTGGATAAAGTAGAAGGATGAATCATCTGAATACTTTTCAGTCATTAAGTAATGGGCTGGCGGTGGGTGGAGTTTGCATGTTCTTCCGATGTCATCGTGGGGTTTCCTCCGGGGTAATCCCCTGCCTTGTACTCATAGCATCCAGGATGGGCTTTGGACCCCCACAACCCTGCAAGTGGGTACAGGAAATGGATGTCTGAATGTATGACTAAATAATTACAAAAAAGGAAATAAAAATTAAAAGACGACAAAAGAGTCTATTGGTAAATAACTGATGTCGATTCAGATTTGTGGTTATTTGTAGATTAATTCAGAATTTGAAGATGCACTATAAGTATCCCTTATAAATGTTGTTGTTGGAGCTGTCGCGTCGGCACAGTTGTTTTTGCTGTGTGCTGCTCTCTAGGTGCAGTACAATGGAAATGGATTCCTGGAGAAGAACAGAGACACCATTCCTGGCAGCATCCGTGATCTGTTCATCAACAGTGTGACCCCTCTTCTCAGCGTTCTCTTCACAGGTAGCAACAATAAGGGATCTCATTCTATTTTTGTTAATCTCACCACAGTGTAATTAGAAGTGCTAGTTTACACACCCTGATGCACAAAGCATGCTGCGTCTGTTTAAATCGTACAGAGTAGTAATGCAACAAAGCTGTGAGCCTTGCATATGAACATGTACGATATGCATGTGCAGGACATATAAAACTCTTGCACGCGTGGGATGCTGCCTACATACCTTACATGTGATAGAAAGTGGATATAATGGAAAAACTGGTCTGTTCTGATCTGTGCATTCCAGCCACGATATCCAGAACTGGGACTTTCATGCCACGGAAAGCAAAGGTACAGTTGACCATGTGTGTTTTGTATAAGACTGGTGCCAACTCTTGTGGACTAATCATATTAAAAGGAAAGCAGTATCAAATGGTGGTGAATTAGGTTTGAAATTCAACACAGTTTCTGCTCCACAATTTTTCTTAAACGCTTATGCTTATAATTTATCTTGATATTAGCTTTTACAAAATTCTGAGGACAACTTCAACTCAACCAGGAAACAGTCTGTTGGTGCGAAATTTAGGGTAAGAAACTAATTTTCTAATAATTTTTATATATATTTTTTTTCGTCAACACTTTACTTGAAGCAGTTTACATAAGGGTGACATGTAACTGTCATAAGAATGACATGACACATTATTGATGTTTATGACTTGTCATAAACATCACTGTTGTCATAATGTGTCATTCGGTTTTTGTCATTCTTATAACGGTTACATGTCACCCTTATGTAGACTGCTTCAAGTAAAGTGTTACCTTTTTTCTTCTTTCTTGAATCCTAGATGTCGCATAGATCCCCTGAGTCAGGGGTCCCTGTTTATTGAAGCCGACTATAATTGTTAATGAATTCAGTCACTTTTTGCTTCAATTCCAAGTAACAAATAATACATCTTTGACAAATGAAATGTAAAATATTGTTTTTTTTGTAGTGAGTTATGACATTAATCACCATGAACCGTTTGCAGCATTCCCTTGCTGTTCTAATGGAGAAGATGTTTTCTGCCAATCCTCATTTTGTACGCTGCATCAAACCCAACTCCAAGAAGCAACCTGACCAGGTGGACGAGAGAATAATGATGGACCAAGTAAGACAAGTCTGATGCTGCCTTAGTCCTGAGTTGCTGTAACCATTCTGACTTGGCTGTCAAACACCATCGCTGTTGGATGTCAAACATAATACGAATGGTGGAGCTGAAGGTGCAGATGGAGGTGTATTCTTAAACTGAATAGGCCGTTATACTAGAGGGTGACCTGTAGCGCTGCCTGAACTTTAAGGGCAGACACTGATTACTGGGTTATCCCTGTTAGATCCTCAGAAAGAACTTCACAGTTGTTTGGATACACAGTATATGCAAAAACACACATTGTACTGAACAAAGATGTTTATATACAAAACCATCAATGAGCATTTGGTTTATAAAGACGAACCAAATAAATTTGTTTTGCTATTGCTGTGAAGACCTTGGCAATGGGGAAAATATTTATCAGTGTTACAAATGAATTAATTACAGAGGTTTGAATTACATTTTTTGAGGTTTGAATTACTTATTATTGATAGATATTTCATTACCATTAATGTTACATAGTTTTTAATATCAGTGCAACTCTAGCAATTTTGAATTAACTGCGGGAGTGACAGGAAGCACTGTCAGTAATATGTAGTATTTGTGTTGCAGTTGAACCGCCACATTCTGTGTAATTTTATTAACTTATTCATCCAGCTCAGGTACAATGGCCTTCTGGAGACGATTCGGATACGCAAAGACGGTTTCTCTTGGCGCCCCTCTTTTGAAGAATTTGCACAGAGGTAAGACTCTTCCATTCATCTGTTGAGCACACCGATGGTGCATCAAACCACCCACTGATAGTGTATCCATATTCCTGAGTCATTCACCAATGGTATCAGACCATATACCCATGCTGAGTGCTGATGGTGTATCATATACCTGTAATATACCCATGCTGTGTGCTGATGGTGTATCATATACCCGTCATATACCCATGCCGCATACTGATAGTGTATCATATACCTGTAATATACCCATGCTGAGTGCTGATGGTGTATCATATACCTGTAATATACCCATGCTGCGTGCTGATGGTGTATCATATACCCGTGCCGCATACTGATGGTGTATCATATACCTGTCATATACTCATTCTGCGTGCTGATGGTGTATCATATACCCGTCATATACTCGTGCTGCGTGCTGATGGTGTATGATGTACCTGAGCCATGCAGAGATGGTGTATTGTATTCCCAAGCCTCACACCAATAATGTATCATATACCTGTACCGCGTGCCAATTGTGTATCATATACCCAAGCCATGTGCCAATGGCATATTGTTTACCTATGTCACGCACAAGGTGCGAATGAGTGAGGGTATTTCTCCAATGAAAATAAGAGCATGACTATAACATATCACAAAAAATGGTCATAGCATTATAGTAAATTATTATTATAGTAAGACAATAGTATAATTAGCTCTAAACGTGACATTCTGCACAATTTAAGCTGTAATATTAACCCAGATTCTTTTCAATCAGGTACAGGATTCTCCTGTTTAAACCAGATCTGCCTTTAAACAAAGAAAGGTAAAAACTAAAATTTGTTATAACCATTCTTGCAACATATTATCAGTAGGTTATGGCATATTAATTTTAAATAAACACTGTATACGACAAAGCTGAGTACAGCTCTGGCCAGTAACACTAAGATGGTAAGAAAATAGAAAACCCAATAATAATTAAACGAATTAATTTGAAAAAACAATGTATTTGACTAATTAAACAATAATGAAAGGTCCGTATTTAAGAACAAACAACAATAAAATTCACTACACCCTAAATCAATGACATTCCTTTCTCTCTTTTATATTTTGTATGTCCCCTTTTATTTTTGATGCCTGGTTCGGTCCTCCTGAGCATGGATGATACTAGTCTTGCAAGAATCTGTGGAGAGACTGGCTTCCATTCTTTGCAGATGATTCTTTTCATCTGCTCTTTTCAAAAACTCTTGTGTAATTTTAGCAGTGTTTTTTGGGTTCATTGTTGTTGAAGAATCCTCTTCTGCCAAGCTTCCGGAACCATCTCCAGCAAACAGCGAATTGTGCACGGCGTCATTTTCTGAGTACGGGTGACACCTTTTAGTGACACTGGCCAGGGGTATACTCAGTTGCATACTATAGTTAACTAACTAAAATAAACTTAGAAAACTGGCAAAATTAAAGTATTGCTGGTTTCATTTTGGAGAGCAGTTTTATCATCAAAGTCATATTGATATTCATAACTGGGACTATAGCTGGACCTACACCTTATGTTTGTTTCAGTTGTATGGAAATCCTTAATAGAACAGAACTCCGTGACTGGAAATGTGGGTAAGGTGTACTTTATGTTCTTATTCTCTTTTAAAAAGGTTGCAATATCCAGGCAACCTGGTGCCTCAGTGGGTGATATTATTGCCTTGCCTCAGACTTGCAGGCATCTGAATCCCAGCCCTGCTCTGTGTGTGTGTGCGTGCGTGCGTGTGTGCGTGTGTGTGTGCGTGTGATAAGAACCTGTTATTTTGATGTTATGGGGACTATTTTTCAAATCTAATTTTATAAAAATCTGTGGCTGCGATCAAAAACTAAAAATGCTAAAAGTCCTGTATTTTCTTTGGTTACTTATGGTTAAGGTTAGGGCTGGGTAGGGGTTAAGGAAATTTTCATCTCTCGATTGCTCAGAGTGTGTGTGCATGTCTTTGTGTGGGTGTTGTGTACCTTGAAATAGACTGAATCTTGCTCAGGGTGTTTCTATGCCCTGTGCTTCCTGGGACGGGCTGCACCCTCACCATGATTCAGGTCTGTATACACAGTTGAAAGATGAATCATTGGTTGTAAGATTTATTGCAGCAAGCAATAGAGTGTAGTCTCAAAGATACTAGTATTTCTGTAGGTAAAACCTAACTTGCATGTTCCTCACTTTTGGTCTTTTTCAGATTCAAAGTATTACTATTTAGATCTAAGCCCAAAAGCATATAATTTTTTAAAATTAAATTTTAAATTGTTTAAAATTGTTTTGATTTCTATACAGAATTCACAGATGATATACTGTAGATGCTTGTTTTAAGTTAACAGTAATGAGTGACACAATTAGTCACATCATTTTATTATTAATTATTGTGTAAGTTTTCCAGATGATGCCCTATATAGTTTGATCCTGTCTGCTCTAAAACTATTTACCTTCTTGTCCAACTCTGACAGGACCTCGCGTCTCTTCTTCAAATACTGGCACCAGGAGGAGCTGGCCAGGTCACTGGAGAGATTGGACAGGGCAGCACTGGTCATCCAGAAGAGTCAGTGCCCAGATGCACATCCTTTTAATATACTGAGCAACAAAAGAAACGTATCAAACTTTTTGCGAAAAAGTTTTTAGGAAAAAAAAAATGTTTGCAACAGTTTATTAATTGACAATGAAGACAAAAAGAATTGGTAATACCGGTTTCACTGCTGTCCTCTGTATCTGGTATGACTGCCATACACAGCAATGCAAGCAGTGCATCTTGATCTCATACTCTCCATAAGCCTGTATAACTGGATGGGATATCCTGACCCACTCTTCCTGTAGTGCCTGGACCAGCATCTGTTTGCTAGTGGGATGTGTTACCCTGGAGACTGTGTCAGCCTACATCCCATAGGTGATCATTAGGATTCAGGTCCAGTGAGTATGGTACCCAGGGCATTGTTTGGGCATTCCGATGCTGCTATTCTTATGTAAGCCAAGCTACGTGAGGACGAGCATTATCGTGTTGAAATATTGCGAAGTTCTGGAGCTACTGCAGGAAAGCGGCAACATGTGGCCCAAGGATTTGGCCTATGCATTGGTGAGCAGTGAGTGTGTCATTCAGTACCGCAAAAGGGTTACCTGCTAGTAATTTCAACCCACGCCGTTATATTAGGTCCTCACCAGCGATCACACTCTCATATGGCACGTCGCACATACCGTTCACTAGACTCACTAAAGAGAACCCCAGCCCTACATGTTCATCATAAATGTTGGTGGCACCACTGAACTCTGTTCCATTGCTGCAAATTAGATAGGATGGGACCTCAAAAAGGTTGCCTCCTCACGGTAGAACAGCTTACTCTGTTGTGCTGCGCAGGGATTTTAGCTGCTGTAGTTGCAACACTACTGAACTGGTCTCTTAGGAGATGCAGGACAAAACATCCGTCTTGCCCAAGGGTTGTAACACGGGGACTGCCAGACTTAGGGCTATCAGTAAGACGACCAGTGTTCCGGGACCTGCATGCAAGCAAAGATACTGTAGCCTGCAAGCACTCGTCTCTGATTCCTCCTCAATTCCAGCGTTCCTATTGCCCAAAAGCACTGCTCCTAGGTCAAGAGGCTCATGGGAGTTTTACTTACGCAAAAATGTTCTGAGGGTAGAAGGGAAAAAAAGATTATCTCTCTAAACCAATCAGATTTTAGAGGAGGTGGAAGCAGCCAATCAGATGTCTTAATCCCGCCTCCTCTAGTTTTTTGGAACCACCTTCTCTACAACCTTATCTATCTGAACCAATCATATTTCCTCCTGCCCATTTTTGGGTAAGTAAAACTCCCACGAGCGGTCAACGTGGCATCTCTAACTTCTAGTGTTTTTCTCAGAGGGTTCTCACCAATTACGGGATTATACTAGTTCACCTTAATTGAAATTCGTCTCTGCAAATCCAGTGAACTATTCAAATCGCAATCAACCATGACCAGTTGATTGACTCATAGGTACTTACAGTACCTAATTACTATTGGGCAATATACCACATTACAGAAATTCGATGCTTACCCCAGTGAATACCTTTCTTTTGATGCTCAGTATATAATGTTTACATATTGCACAGCATTTTTGCATTGTCATAACTGTACTTGTCTTGTATTTAATGTCCTATTGGAGCATTAATTTGCACTTGTGTTTTGTGTTTAATGTTTACCATTGGCTGGCAGGACATGCAGAGTAAGATTTTTCCTTGATTACTGTGACAAACTATTAAAAATGCTCTGTTGGTGTAATGGCTGGTCAGTGTTGGCCATAATGTTTACAGGAAGTATATGTTTGCAGACTACCGGGCAGTCAGCTGTAGACGGAAATATTTAATTCGGCTAGCGGAGCTTCGTGCGCAGAGACAGAGGGAGCAGGAGGAAGCAATTCAGCGTCAGCTGGAGGAGGAAAGGAAGAGGCACTTGGACATGGAGCAAGAGAATAAGAGTGAGAAGTTATACTTGCTTTCCATATCTACACGCTGATTGTTTTTGGCAGAGGTGCTGGCTCTGCTGCGTTAGCCTGAGCTCAGCATTGGAGTTCATGTTCATGTTCTTCATGTTCCGTAAGTGGTATCTTTTGTGTGACCCGTCTTGTGCTGAAATAATGTTGACGTTGCGATCCGGTGCCTTGCTGTCCAGTGCCAATACATCGACCTGTGCCACTGCCGAGGAAGAAGAAACCTCAACCCAAACCTCACTGCCCCCTGGTGGGGAGCCTGAATCCACCCCAGCCCACTCCTGTACCCCGCCCTCGTAGCAAACTCTTCCAGGTTTTCTATTTATTTTTTCCCCTACTTTTATTTGTGTAGTTATTTTCACAACAGATGTTGTGTCTTTGTACCACTTCTCCTATAGGACTGTAGTGGCAGCAAGTCAAGCAGGTTAGACCAGACCTCTCTCAGAGGTTCCAGGCATTCTGGGCGATTCCCAGACATTTCCGTGTCAGCTAGAAGATATAATCCTTCTAGCATGTCCTAGGTCTGCCCCCATGTCTCCGCTCAGGTATATGTGTCGGGAAGATCTCCCTTGAATGCCAATCGGGTGTTTTCCTTAGATGCCAAAACTACTACTGCCGACTCCTCTTATTCTGAAGCCATAGATATCCGTGTTACCCCAACAAAACCCATTGCTTTCAAGAAAGAGTCAATCTATCCTCTATCTTAGCAAAGTTGCATAGCATGAAGTTTTATAGTTAGCCTTTAGGTAGGTTTATTTAAGATGGTAACAAGTACAGTAGCAAGGTCCAATTTAGGACTTTTGTCATTCTCAGGCCACCTCCCATGACGACGACCAGAATGTGAAAGGTGACTCCCCCTCCCTGCTCCCGGCACTAGGAGAGGATGAGGTCACCGGGAAGACATTCACCAGGAGATGCAACACAATTCGCTGGTTTACGGAAACGCAGGCGAGGAAGGTGGTGGTGAATGGGGAATTCCCTTGCTGGTTCCATGGCGTGATCACACGGAGGTACGATTTGATTACGGCTATGATGGGCGGCCCCCATGGCTGATGATGCCAGTTAACCTAAATACAATCACATGAGGCCTTATGATTAAATGAAAGGAAATAATATAGATGTGCTTGAAGAAACTCGATGAGGATGATGCCACAAACCTTATCTACAAGACAACATATTTATGACAAGAAAATGTAATCCCTCCTTTTTTTTTCGTAGACAAGCTGAGGATTTGATGACAGACAAACCTATTGGCTGCTTTCTGATCAGGCTTGGACAGAGTCGAAAGGGCTATACGTTAACATACAGGTATGGCAAAGCAGCCTACGGTGAAAATGCCCTGCCTGAAATCTTTCATGACCTTGTGATTATATTGGATCAGGGTTTCTCAGTCTAGTCCTTGGAGACCCCCACATGGTCCGCATTTCCAGGAGGGCGTCTGTTTCTGTTCTAAACCACTTAGATTGACTAAAACATGTAGTCTACTGCTTAGCTGCACACTTCTTGACCCTGTCTGTACGCTATATAGCAGGGTTCTTCAAATCTGGACCTCGATTCCAAATCCAGGCCTTGTTTTCAGTTCTCCCAGGTACTTAGTTTAATAATTACTAATTCTGATTGGTCAGAGGCTTCACACCTGACTGACAGGTAAAGGAAGGCTGGAAAACCAGCAGTGCTCGGACCTCGAGGACCGTGATTTGAATAATAGGGCTATATAGTATACATTCAGATACAGACAGTGTGATGGATTGTCTGGGGGTGTCCCCAAGGATCAGTTTGAGAAACACTGTATTGGATGACCACTGGGACACCTAACAAATTTTTAGCAAGCTATCTAGAGTGTTCAGTATGTTGTGTTTTTTTGTAATGCTTATAGAGGGGCCTGATAGTCTGTCATGGATAATTATGCAACAAAAATACCGAAGTATTCATCAGACCTGTCAGCTTACCCACGCGATCATTTCACTTTCCATACAGATAAGGCCACACATTAAGAAGTTCATATCCAGGCGTTAATAATATTGTTTCATTAAGCCTTGTCAGTTCCATCTGCATTCATGGATCATGTTCTGCTATAAAGGAGCAAAGAGCGTTGCCGCCACTACATGATCGAGATGCAGAGTAACGGGAAGTATGTCATCGTCGGGGAAGACCGAGCTCATGCATCACTGCCTGACCTGGTCGACTACCACACCTGTAATGGCATCAAGCCCTTCATGGAGTTTCTGACCATTCCCTGTGGACAGGTAAGTGCTCTCATTAAAATAATGACCTCAGGTCAGCATAAGGCAGTGGTGGCTTGATGGTTAGGGAAGTGCACTCATAAGTGAAAGATTGCAGGTTCGAATCCCCGACCAGCAAGGCACCACTGAGGTACCCTGAGCAAGGTACCGCCCCCAAGCACTGCTCCCCGGGCACTGAATTAGCTGCCCCCTGCTATGTCACATTGTCACATATGGGTTAAATGCAGAGGACACATTTCGTTGTTGTGCACTGTGTGTTGTGGTGTGTCAACAATGACCACTGATCTCTAAATTCTAAAATGTAAGGCACTAGCTCTGAAAGCAAAAATGGACTGAGCTGTTTCTAACAATGTGAATCCTTGCTATTCTAGAAGTGTGAGCAGGAGCCAGATTATGAAGAACTAAGGACCCTTGCTGACAAGGGTCAACATGCATGGGAAGATGAGGTCATTCCCACTGAAGCCCACAGACCCTCAGAAGCAAAATGGAATGTGGATAGAGGAGCCTTCGAAAATGGCCATAACGCATGGGATCACAACACAAGGACCTTACCCCGGCTGTACCCATCTATTAGACTGGCAATGAAGGAAATTCAGCAGGTGCAGCTCCCATAAAACCGTTGCAGGTGGAACAAGAGACTAGACACCTGTGTGTGAGATTGTTATATACAGTCAGTCTGCTTCTCCAAACAGATGTATGAATCTACACTGCATGCAGACAGGGTCAGCAGGTTCATTCAATTACTGTGCAGCTAAGTAGCAGATCAGCTAAGACGTGGTCGAAGTAGTTTTTCACAGAAACAGGCACCCGCCTTGGAATCGGTTCAATAGTTTATAGGGTATAGTGTGATTAAAAAAAAACCTGTTGCAGCAGTCTTGTTGATGAAAACCTTGTTGTTGAGAGAGATCAGGGGAGAATGGCCAGATGTACCAAAGGTAACAGGAAGACTAAGTGCAAAAATGACAGAGAGTGCAGAAAGGCATCTCCATGACAACCCATCCACTCTTGAAGTGGTTCTGGAGACCTGGTATTACATAGGGGTACCTAGTCATTTGGTCACCCAGTATATGTAATGTTTCTTCTATGCTGGTTCTTGCACAGGTTATTTTTATGAGTAAAAGTTTTACTGCAAGATGTCCCTCAAACATTTATTTTTAGTTGTCACTTATTTTGGTCGATCAATATAACCTGGTTGAATTAATAGAATAAATATCAGCAGTGAAATCCCCAGAGTACTAAAATGCATATGTATAGTACAGCTCAGAATGTTACTTAATTTCTGTTTCTTTCTGTTTTCCCCACTTCCAGCACTTCCAAGACCGGCAGGATCAAGGCCACTTCAGCTGCACCTCACACTCCACAACAGAACCATAGTGACTGTTTGACCTCTGTGACCATGTGCTTATCTTTACAACACAAACACCACTAAGTCAAACTCCATAATCACTGCTGCTGGATATAGCTGTGAGAAAATGATTCAGTATCATTAGGTCTTTTAAAATTTTTAGGTTATTGGATCTTACCAACTCACTAAAATTAAACTGGATTGTTCCGTTTGTCATACTTTCCCCAGTACTGCCTACTACCTTGTTCACTTTCAAACTGGCGGTTTCTGGATATATCACATCTTTTAATCAGTTTATTGCCGTACATGACAAAGTTGTCCATTTGTAAATTTTCCAATAAAGAATTTAATTTTCAAAGTTTTAACAATTCTAATGGCAAATTTGTTATATTTATGGATTTTTTTTAGCATGGGATGAAAAAAATAGCCATGGGGTAAATTGTCATACTTTTGGCAAAGAAAAGTATTTACAAATAAAAGTATTTTTAACTGTTGGCTCTTAAAATATACCTATTCCTTGTCCACAAAACAACAAGGAATATCAGTGAACAGATGACTATCTTGTCTGACGACTGTTTTGAATGGTTAAAATTTGTCACTTTGAGGCTGATTGTGACACGACGGTCCTGGTGGGAGGCCTCAAGCAAATCGGCACCACACCAGTGTTTCTTCACCACCAGCCTCAAGAAGTGTCAAGTGGACATGGCTGCTGATTGATTAGGGTTAGGGAGTGTGACACAGGTCAGGGTTAAAGCCCAGGCTGGGAAAGAAGCTGGAAGAACAAGAGGGGCTTCATTTATCAAGGCTGCATACGCACAAATTGATGCCTGAAGTACGTGTTCGTAACTTTTTATGTGACATCACAGATTTATCAAACAAAACTTGTGGGGGAAAAAATGAGTATATTTATGGAAACTCGACTGGCGTATGCAACATTTTGGACAAATTGAGAAAAGGCGACGCGTTGTAAAAGCAGGGAATTGCAGGTAAACCAGCTAAATGATCACGTGATCGCCTATAATTCATACCATCAACCCATGTTTCAGGTAAAAAATGGTAAATCTAATAATGTGAACTGGGATTTATTGTATTCCCCAGACAAATGATTATCAGACTGGTCTGCTGCCACTGCAGACACTTTGCTTAAGATGATAACTTAAAAATTGTTTGATGGATCTTTTTCAAACTGGAATTGATTAAATTTTGAGACCATTTGTGCCTCACTGGTACTTGGGGGGGAAAAAAAGCATAAAACAAAGCTTAATGGTATTAAAGAACGGCTATTTTATTTATAAGGCAAATTGGAAAGTCAAATTGAACAATAGGCCTATATTAATTTAACACCTTAAATATATGTATAAAAAACACATTTAAATAAATTCACATAAAACCTAACCCAGCTACAATAATTGTACACTGACACCTTAAATATGGAAATATAAATAAATACAAAACACCTTTACATAACGATTTTCCAGTGTGGAAATCCTTTCGAATGAAATACAGTCACACTTTAGACCAGGGGTGACAAACTGCAGTCCTGTGGGGCCGCAGCCCTGTTTAGCTTAGCTTTCCCTGTTCCACCACAAATGATTCAGCTCCAGAGCTGTGTGATAATTAGCACAAGGAGTTGAATCTGGTGTGTTAAATGAGGGGAAACCCAAAAATGTGCAGGGCTCCGGCCCCCCAGGACGGGAGTCTGACATTTTTGCTTTAGACCATTAAGCATTTTAATCATGTTTAAGCTACTAGCTAATGGGCGACGTTCTATCCAGGATTCATCACGTTCATCACCTCCTGAAGGAGAGGAATGTTAAGCGAACTAATATCTGTAGCATTAGAAGGTGTGTTAGTATCCTCAGAGGGTGAAGGAGCTTTGTATTTAGCCTTCCTAGAATCTGTTTTTTGTCACATCGAAGCTATTTTGAACTCAGACACATACATGCACACATATCTACGGAGTGGAGAACGTAGCTTGCCATCCGAGTACACGGTAAAGCCATTTAGCCAGCAATGCTGGAGCAGTTTGTGTGATACATTTCATCGAATGAAAACACGGCAGTCTAAAGAAAATATTACAAAACTACCAACACACACAAAAAAGTTAGATTCCCTAAAGTCCACGGGATACAAAAAGCCCCTAAAAGTCAAAGGTGGGAGCACAGCACTGGACCAAGCTACAATTGTCACAAGTTAAGATATAATTGGATTTATGGGAACTGTATGGAGGACACAAGCACAAACAGGTTATGTACAAAAATGACCAAAAATAATTTATTTATTGGAGATATACAACTGCAGCATGTATTTTGTGAAATGAGTAGTTAAAATGGAAATTATTTGAGTTTATCTTTGGATAAAGAAGCTTAATGACAATAATAGCATAATCAGGGCAGAGCAGAGTGACTTGTTCATATACTGTAAAATTAGATACAGAGGAATTGAAAAATATGATGTAAAATTGAAAGACTGTGAATAGAGGCAAACGATGGATTAAGACAAAACAATTCCTTTGGTTCAGCAGTATAGAACATAACATTTTCCTCACTTTAAATAATAATAATAATAATGATAATAATAATGCATTCTATACATTATCATTTATTTACTCCAAACTGATTCAGGAATTTGCTGATAAGTAAAATTTTAATTACATAAGCAGTTTTCCATACATATAAATTGTTATAAACCCTGAAATAGACAATTCCCTTACAACTGTTGAAATCAACAATAAAAACAATTAGCAATACAAATCCAGCAGATTGCAAGTTGACCTGAAATTCAAATAGTGCTGCTCAATATATGGCTCTATGAAAAATCTTAATTCAAAACAAGCATTGTTCTGAGATTTTATATATGCATATATACATATGTATATGTATGTGTGTGTGTGTATGTGTGTGTGGTTTCAATGATAATCAATGTTCAATGATAAGATGTCAAACTACATGGGTCCATTGAGCTTTAAGGAGACTGATGATCCCTCAATGTTCCCTTCAGTGATTTTTGAAACAGAGTCCAATGTCAAAGTCTATATTTCTGTAAACAGAACGAAAATAAGGGCACATTTAGTAACTGAAACAATAGAATACACCAAGGCTAATAATACTACACATGCTGATATACAAAAATTCTTTAGAACAATGCCAATTTTGGGTTTTCATAGATTCCATTTTTTTGTTGACAATGTGGGCAGTGGTGGCTTGATGGTTAGGGAAGCGCACTTATAATTGAAAGATTGCTGGTTTGAATCCCCGACCAGCAAGGCACCACTGAGGTACCCTGAGCAAGGTACCGCCCCCAAGCACTGCTCCCCGGGCGCTGAATTAGCTGCCCCCTGCTATGTCACATATGGGTTAAATGCAGAGTACACATTTCGTTGTGGTATGTCAACAACGATCACTAAAAATGACAGGTAAATATGTTATTAAAACTATTTCAATAGATATAAATTTTACAATACAATTCATCATTGTGTTACAAAATAGCAGTACACAAAGGCAATGTAACTGTGCAAACTCCTAAAGTCTGTATTGGTCAGTTGTGCCTAATCAGTGTGAGCAGGGCTGAATGAAAAATTGGCCCTGGACTTTGAGGTCCCCCACAATAAACATGGCCGAACGGCCAGCCAATCCAGAAATTGCCCTAGTATGCCAGATGGTCAGTCTAGCCTCATATTGTATGTTTGACAACTGTACATACAGGAAAATATTAATTCCCCAATAAATCCCAAAAATTCCCTTGCAAAGGTTCCTCCACTAAAAAAATCCCAGAGTCTGTATCCTTAATACAAAGTATGCAGTATACGAGGGAGTATACAATAGTAAGGAACAAGATTAATAAAAGCTATTAAAATTTTATATAGCACATTATGAGGCAATTGAACCATGTAATATATTAGATTAAATAAAATTCCTACAATTGACAACACACTTCATGGCAAAGGCAGATCATCCAAAGGTCTCTGCAAAGTGCACTTTCAGCATGAACGTACTGAACTTGCTGTTTGTCTCCATGTCTGCAACATGTAATCTTTCAGCAACATCTGCATCATTCAAAAGGTTATGACAGCCATCAAGTAAAATGGATCATTTATATGTATACAAGGTCAGGGAGATGAATGCAACATTCTGAGAATTAAATTTCTTTTAATATTATAGGCTGTCTCTTTATTGACAAACTCCCCTTTACTTTGGAATTGGGATTCATATATAAACCAGAATCATATTTAGAATATGTTCACTGATGACATTCCAGCATTGTGAGCACTACAGTACTAGGTTCTGTCTTTGGAGTACAGTAGGTATGTTCCCTAGACTGGGCCCTCTTTACCTCATCCAATATTTATTTTTTTGTCTGTCCTCTATATATCAGTGTCCCTGGTCGATTCAGCAGCCCGCGCCAAACCATCTACCATCAGTGCTTCTTCTAAGCTCTTCCGTGCCCGATGGACCTTCAGTTCCTGTTCCCTATCAAGAGAATGGAAAACAGTGGAACCTTGGAACCATTCCATGGAGTAATGAGCCATAAAATGTAAGGGAGATAAATTAGTTTTGCCTTTAATTCACTAATAATAATAAATATAATAATAATAATAAACCTCTGTATATTTTATCAGCACATTATTTGTTTAATTAATCCATTCACATATGACACTTTTATTTCACAGCAGGCATGTTCGTTAGGAAATTGAAAGACTAAGAAAACTAAGCAGTATTAGTCCTCTCATAGCAATAATGGGAAAACTAGCAGTTACAATTTCCATCCAGATTGTCTATGGAATTAAATGGAAATTTATTACACTCAATAGTATATCACATAGGCAAGATACAACCATCATATACTACACACAAAAAACAAGTGGGACTTTTTCCTTTATATATAAAAAAGTAATCTGACAAACCCATACTTTACATAGAAATTAAAAAAATATATATATGATGTACTACTCAATGAACGAATTAGAGAAAACCAGCCTTTTTACAGTTTTTTTTTTAACTACACTGTTATTAGACAATTAACTAAATTTTAAAGGAAACTATTAATATCTATTTTTGTCCTGTACGTCCTCTAATGCAGACTCCATATGATGAAGGAGAGTTTATTTTTAACATCTCCATCAACTTACTCATACTAGTATGAGTAGCATGTTCTTACCGAATGTCTTCATCTGTAACAACAAAAGCTTTGCAGAGTGGCTGTGACGTGTTGAGCCAGACGGCTGGGTTCTTCTCCGCTGCAGCTGATGTTTGACCAGTTATGGGGGTTGAACTCATGTGAAGAGCACTGGCAATGGCTGACAGTAAAGTTTCATCTGTTGTAGCTGGTCCAACACCTGAAAAATTCAAGTTCCAGGTCATTACCACGGGTTCTTTCATCAGTGAAATGAAATTTTAAAAATGCTAACTTAAATAAAGCAGGTATTACTTTGTAAACCTTTAGGAAGCTCCATGGTTCTCAGAACCTCTTCCGTTACATCTGATGACCTCAAACCTTTTAATCGCTTCTCCCAAAAAAGCTGCAAAGAGAAAAAAGTTTGGTCATTTGGAGAGTAGAAAATTAACACCACTTGTCCTCTCACCACTTTGAGTTTTTACAGTCCCAATTTTGCACACAGTAAATAAACTATAAGTTTAAAATTTGCAATAATAAAGAAAATTTTATGATATTTATAGCCAACTGAATGCGGCCAGGGGACACAGGAAATGTGTGGGGGGAAGGTGAATGTTTTAATTTGAATTCATTCATCACCTAATATATAAAGCTTTGTATTTCATATAATATACAGTGCATTCAGAAAGTATTCAGACCCCTTTCAATTTTTAACCATTTGTCACGTTATACCTTCATGCTAAAATTATGTAAATTCATTTTTGATCCCCATGAATCTACACTCAGTACCCCATAATGACAGCACAAACACAGAATTATAGATTTTTTTGCAAATTTATTAAAAAATAAAAACTGAAATATCAAATGGATGTAAGTATTCAGACCCTTTGCTGTGACACTGACATATTTAACTCAGGTGTCGTCCATTTCTTTTGATCATCTTTGAGATGGTTTTACGCCTTGATTGGAGTCCAGCTGTGTTAAATGAAATTGATTGGACATGATTTGGAAAGGCACACACCTATTTATAAAAGGCCTTACAGCTCACAGTGCATATCAGAGCACAAACTAAGCCATGAGGTCGAAGGAACTGCCTGAAGAGCTCAGAGACAAGATTGTGGCAAAGCACAGATCTGGAAAAGGCTACAAAGAAATTCTGCTGCAGTTAATGTTCCCAAGAGCACAGTGGCCTCCATAATCCTTAAATGGAAGAAGTTTGGGGCAACCAGGATTCTTCCTCGAGCTGGTTGCCCGGCCAAACTGAGCAATCGGGGGAGAAGAGCCTTGGTGCGAGAGGTAACCAAGAACCCAAAGATCACTCTGGCCGAGCTCCAGAGATCCTGAGTGGAAATGGGAGAAAGTTCCAGAAGGACAACCATCACTGCAGCCTTTCACCAACCTGGGCTTTATGACAGAGTGGCCCAGCAGAAGCCTCTGCTCAGTGCAAGACACATAGAAGCCCTCATAGAGTTTGCAAAGAAAACACCTAAAGGACTCCCAGGCTGTGAGAAATAAGATTCTCTGGTCTGATGAAACCAAGATTAAACTCTGGCCTTAATTCTAAGCGGTATGTGTGGAGGAAACCAGGCCCTGCTCATCACCTGGCCAATACCACAGTGAAGCATGGAGGTGGTAGCATCATGCTGTGGGGGTGTTTTGCAGTTGCAGGGACTGGGCTACTGGTAGAAATGGCAATTTCGAATCATCGAAACATTCGAAACAAGCAAATGTTTCGAAACGGTTCAAAAAGTTTTGAAACACTAGTTGTGCACAGCCTGCTGGCAAAAACCGGAACTGCAGCTATACCAAATACGGCAGAATAAAAACTTATTGCTGCAAGTTTCGAATGTAACGAAGCTCGAACTGTCAAAAATGTGCATAATACAATATAATTTCTTTTTGATTATTTTTACATTCTGTCATAGGTATCCTATATCTGCAATTAGCGTGTGATAACTTTTTGCCAACCGTAATTCAACTAGTACGAATCATAAAAACGTTAGATTATTAATGTCTCTCGTGTATGGTCGCGAAACCTCTCTTGCACTAATATCAGAAGCAGAGAAGAGAATGTTAGCAATATTATGAACAAGTCTGCACGTCCACTTCCGTGGCCTCTATAATGGAGCATATTTTAGCCACCGGCTCATTCCACCATGCTGTGCTAAAAATGCTACTGGGGATTATCGCTGCCCGAAGCCGTCAGACAACTGGTGACCGACATCACACTTTCTCCAGACGTTACACTTCCCATCCATAGCCATAATACGCCAGGAAGCATCCTGTCTTGTTATAATACAATCCGGTGCCTTGTGTTCTAACTGCACATAATTTATTTGCAGATTATTATTCTCATCTTTAAATATTCACGTTTAGTCGATCTCACATTCTGCTCCTCAAGATTTTACATCCATTTGTGTACTATGTACTTTTAAAATCCGCTGCAGTATGTTTACTTTGCTCACACCATGTGTACAGTCTTCGTGCCTTGTTTGTTTGGCATTATCTGCATTATTTGCATGTTTGTATGCACCAGAATTTCCCCCAGTCAATACAGTCAATCAAAACCTAAATTGGGTCTTATACCATTTATAGAGATTATTTGTTCCCATGGCTGTGTATTGTTAAAACATAATTTCTGTATTTACATACCATCCGAGTATTGAGTGTGCATAGTAATTAATTAGCTACTGAGGTTAGAATACTCATCCTATCTAGGTTTGTGTATGTTCAGCAGGTTATAGGAATGGTTTAGTTTTAATTAATTTATATAGAATAGAACAGTGCAAAAGCGCAGTTTCAGACAACAGTCTTGGTCTATGTTAGCAATGTTAATATATGTATATGTAATCTATGTGTCTATGCTACTCTAGCTTTTTGATTTATATGTCTAACTGAATCTAAGCAAAACCTTGATATTGCTCCTCCTGGGTATACTTATAAAACTAAATCCAGTCTGAAATAGTTTAGTTCAGTTCAGTTCAGTTCAACTTTATTCGTACCCAAAGGTAAATTTGCTTTGCAGTAAAGTGAGTCACAAGAATAACACTATAACATAATCACATAACCATAATTCCACATTCCACATAAAAGACTAATACCTCATTCACTTATTTAGGAGGCTTATAGCAATAGGGATGAAGCTGTTCTTAAAACATTTAGTTTTACATTGAGGCACTCTATATCTTCGTCCTGACTGAAGCAGCTGGAACTCATAGTGTAGTGGATGAGAAGCATCTTTTACTATAGAGCCAGACAGACTCTGTAGAGATGGTGGTGTTGCTGTTCTCTTTGATTGCAAACCAGATATCACAAAGATTAGGATACAAATTCAACACATTTGAATTTATGGTCTTTAATGTAACTAGCATAGCGATAAGCAACACTTACATATATCACTGCGTTGATTGTTTATAAGCCTCCTGACCCTTACAGTGACTTCATAAAGGAATTCACGGATTTCTTAAAAAGCCTGAACATTCTTGTAGATAAAGTTTTTATTGTTGGGTTTTAATATTCATATGGAAAATGATACTGATCCTCTCAGGAAAGCCTTCATCTCCATTTTTGATTCTGTTGGTTTTACAGAGAATGTAGGGTTTACTCATCTGTTTAATCACACTCTAGATTTGGTTCTTAGTTGTGGTATTTTCATGGAACGTGTGTAAATGTTCCCACTAAACTCTGCTAATTCTGACCATGCAATGGTGACATTTGAGATTCAGACAAAGACGGCTCCTCAGTGCTACTCCAGTCATTTGATCGGCCCTTCCACTGCTGCAGCTCTTGTCTACACTTCCACACATTTTACACACATTAGATGAGGCCACTACAGAGGCTGAACTGGGAATTGTGTTCTAAAGGGTTGAGCAGGCATCTGGTTGTAGTCTTGACTGTGTTGCTCCATTAAAACGAAAACCACTTAGCAACAAGAAACACGCACCTTAGCATACAGACCAAACAAGCATACAGAGCTTAAGCAAGACACATAGAAGCTCAAATGAAAGTGGTGAATCACTAGGCTAATGTTCTAGATTACCTGGAAAGAAAATGTCTCAAGATATATACATGCCCTATCTAGGGCCAGGTCCACGTACCCCCCAGTCCAACAGAAAATAAGAACAATCCCAAATTCCTATTTGTCGCTTTCACATCTGACAAAAAATTATGCATCATTGTTCTCGCTGGTTCCAGTGACCCTTTACAGTAATGACTTTATTAAATTTTGAACAAAGAACAATATTAGACTATTTAGTGTGTTAAATTGGCTGCTCGTAACATTCTGACATCCGGCTCAACTACATCTGATAAAATAAAGAGGTATTTGAATTACTCTGTCTGATAGGTAAATTTGATCTACTAAAATTAATATCTTCAATAAAACCTACAACCTGTTTGTTAGATAACATACCTGTATAATGTTGTTTTAAAAGGCTGCACCACTCATAAGTAGCACACTACTTGATATGATGAACATCTTTAAGTTTGGGGAACGTCCCAAAGTCACACAAGGTTGCTGTTGTCAGACGTGTCCTTAAGAAACCAAGCCTGGATCCCACTGATATGGCTAATTACAGACCCATTTCTATCCATCCATTTATTTCCAAAATCTTAGAAAAAGTGGCTGGTAGTCAGAAAAAACAACATTAATTAAATGTTCCAGTCAGGATTTAGGCCAAATCATGAATGACTTGCTTAAGGCTACTGATGATGGTACCACACCCCTGTTGGTTCTTCTGGATCTAAGCGCAGTGTTTGATACTGTTGACCATGGCATTTTATTGGCAAGACTAGAGCCTTTGGCTGGTATTAAAGGACAACAATGGGTCTGGGGGCCGCTTATATCTACTCTCAGCAGTAACCGAGCCATACCCGACCCGTTACAGTGAACTGACAGTTTTCCACTGCAAGGTATGCGAGCCGTACCAGAGCCGTCACCATCAGCTATCAAAGACTGAGGGAGGCTTGGCTGAAGTTAGGAGCTCTGTGGCCAGTTACTTCCTTCTGTTAAATCCTGAAAAAACAGAGGCGTTACTACTGGGCCCTATGGCATCCCAGGGTGTTGCTGATATCAATGTATGCACAGTAGTTAAACAAACTCTGGTTGGTGCACAATGCTGCAGCAAGTGGCCTAACATGGACTAGGAAACATGTGCATATCAGTCCTGTACTGGCCTCACTCCTCTGGCTCCCAGTTAGGTCTCGTATCGACTACAAGGTACTACTGCTTACCTATAAGGCACTGAATGGTCTAGCACCAGAGTATATTAGCAGTTAACTCGTTTTATATAACCCCCTTCGTTTGCTTCACTGT